AGTTTATACCAGTGAAGATACATATTTACTTTAATTATTCTTTCATTTATGGCTTTCCAGGTTGTTATGAACTTTCTTAGTCTTCTGTGAATCATTAAAGAAATTCCCTTTTGAGCTCTACATTCTTTTGATACTCCACTATAAAAATGGTCATATTTTCCTAGATTTTTATAGCCGGTTCCCTTTTTTTTGTTTCGGTAATGACTGCTATGTCTATTTTTAGTTCTGTTAATTCATGTAAGACTTCATTGGGTTTTTTGATTAGCTTGAACGTTCCTTGTACCAAAAAATCATGTCCTTTTTCTAAGCCTATGTCGTCTTTGTTGTGTTGTCCTATTTCGAGGCGTGTGATGAGTTTTTTAACATTTTTTATGTTTTTGCAAGCACGAGTTTGCCCAATCCACTTGTCCATGTTTGGGTTCAGAGTCTCTCCTAGACGGATCTACGAGAGCTACCGCTAATGTTACTCTCCATAAAATACACAGTCGATACTCTATAACTCTACAGTTAAAAAACTAACATTTTTCTTAAGCACTTTAGTTCAAGATTAATAATTATAGTGGTGAATTAACTCAGACAGATATTACAACTTACTACCAGCGCTATCGAAGAAAAATTATTGTAAATATACTAGATTGATAAGTATTGTGAAGTTTGAAAGAAAAAAATCTCCACCAATCAAGTTGAAAACCAAGTTGTATTTTAATAACACGACATTCCAAGCTTAGAAGACCTTTTGCTAGGACTACATCCCCAATCAACTACACTTTCTTTTATTTTTGTGTATAGAGCGGTGTTGTGGTAAACTTGCAAAAAGCTAATACTTACTTGGGATTATTGATCAATTCGTTTAACGATTTTTCAAAAGTCTCTTCGTTTAAGTCGGCAAAATTAAGTTTTATGCCATAACCTTTTCTAGCGGATTCTTCAATGTTTTTCTTTTGGTCCCAAAAGATTGGCATGCCCAATATGGGCACCCCATGATATATGGCCTCAATGGTACCGAGTAAACCTCCATGCCCAATGAATCCTATTACATTTGGATGAGCTGAAAGCAATGAAACGATTATTAATTAGAAAAAATAGTGCAATCTTTATTATCATAGTAATGTAATATATATATATATATATATATATATATACAAACAACACAGTTTATTAGGGTTGCAGTCAGAATATTGGCCGGGATGTTAAAAAACACTCTTTTGACTTTTTGTCGAGCACTCGACAAAAAGTCAAAAGAGTGTTTTATTAATACCCCGGCCAATATTCTGACTGCAACCCTAATAAACTGTATTGTTTGTTTATATCGGACAGTCACTAATATCCAGTATTTCTTGTATAATAATATATATATATATATATATATATATATATATATATATATATTAATGTGATATTTAAAGTCTTAGTGCGCCAAGCAATTAATTAGCTAATAATATGATATAACACTATATATATGAAATAAATAATCAAATAAAAGTCACACTCAAATGTTTTCAATAAACAATATCTCATATAATGATTCTCAAAATTGTTTTACGTACGTGAACCTTCAAAATTAATGGTACAAACAATATTATGTTAAAATCTCAAAATCCCAATTATTATTCTAAATCTCCTAATTAAAATATTTATATCTTTTCTAAAGTAATTGTAAAAAATGTGTTATCAAATAAAAAAAAAAATGCAGAAAAACAAAACGATTCTCTCTCTGATGATGAGTGGTCCAAATCCTTGTTCCTTGTAGCCTATACTCTCTATTCTTAGCAGCTTCCTAGGTAATCAGCAATCTTACAACAAATTGTTGCAAGTTTATCGTCCTATAATGATCTCCTCAAATGCACGAATCATGCAAATTAATGCTAGCCTCTTCTCTTCTCGATAAACCGAATCTCTCGTTGGCCCGAGTGAAAAAATGACTCTTGGAAATATCTTCTCTTTACGATAAACTGAATCTCTGGTTGGCCTGAACAGTGACTCTTGGAATATAAGTAGAAAAATATGACTTACAATATTTTCCTGGATCAGCTTCTGTCAGATACACTAACTCTACAAAAACTCACTAACATTCAACACTACTGCTTGCTACCTCTCGGGAACCAACAGAGAACAATGACTGTTCGACTTGCACACTTGGAAAAACCAACTGACTATCTTTTTTTCTTCCAAAACTAACTAACGTTTCATTCTCAAACCAACCATCCCACCTTTTTTAATCTCATCCAATCAAAACGCGTCATACATCTCACATTTCTTCATTTCGATAACACAAACAAATTTTTACCTACAATTACAAAATTTCCTAAAACTTATTTACAAAATAATCTTTTTCTAACCAATTCTTATGAACTAACAAAAACATATCTTTCTAAAATCTATTCTATTGTCCTAATTACTGCACAAATTTATTTGGAAAACCCGCTTCCATTGTCTAGGATTTCACTTAAGCTTATGCGGGTCACTCAAATATATTTTAACAAAGAAAATAATTTATGCATATCTTACGTTTTTTTTCAATACAGGTAATTCAAAATTAAAAGACTTTCATTCTTCGAAATGTTTGTTGTTTATTATCCTACTTATCTGAATATATTTAATTTTTTGGAACTTTGAAATATTTTAAGCAAACCAATATTTTTCTCGATTTTACATATCATAACAATATATATATATAATATATATATATATATATATATATATATATATATATATATATATACAAACTTCTCAACATTGGATTGTTTCTCAAATGGTGCTAAACGTTTTCCTCATAACAACCTCCAAATTGTACATACCTAAGACGTCTTTTTGGGGTAACCAGCTAGAAATCATCACATTATCACTCTTCTCTGGAAGGTCCGTCTCAAATTTCCAAAGAACCTTTTGTTTGATTTTCGAAAAAGCCTTCAAAATTGCCCGTTTTTTCTCTGCTGCAAAGTCAGAGCTCTTGAGATTGGATCCCATGGAGAAAATAATTGCTCCATCCTTGGCGCTGTCTAAAAAGTCTTTAAGATTTTTTGGCAGAGGTTCTGGATCGGTGACGTGGTAACCTCCAATTTCCTTAATGTTTTGTTGTAGGGGCATGGCGTCTATCAAACTAACGTGGGAGGTAATAAGTATGAGGCTGGCATTGTACAAAATTGAATTTAGGTCAGGGGCATCTAGAAAAGAAAAAATACTATTAAACAATATTTATTGTCTCAGTTCAGTTTTGAGTTATCATATTCTATTCTTAAAATATTCAAAGGTATATGTGTCACATTATAAAGGCATCACACAAACTATAATTTAACTAAAAATTTCTATCAAAAGAACAAAGAAGTTTTGAAATATTGGCTGGTTGAGAAAACGTTTTCAAATTATCTTGGCTCTTCTGGTTCCTGTTTTTTATTCCGGTCTGTCGGTTCAGTATCCAGACTTATTATTTCTCTCTTATATTGCTCTTTCACCTATAACTTAATACTAGACGAGCTCTACGAAAATGATAGAATACTTGAGAGATGGAGGCAATACATGGAAGAATTATTCAAGGAAGAACAAGAGAGAGAAGTCAGTGTTTCTGGATGTTAAGGCCAGGAATAAAGGTCAGTGCACATATGCAATAAAAAGACTAAAAAACAACAAAGCACCTAGACCTTATAACATATAAGCTGAAATATTGAAACTATTTGAAAACAACCAACTCAAACTCCCAACGAGTCTACTGAACAAAATCTGCAGAATAAAACTGCAGAATTTTCTACAGATTGGCTAGTTTCCACCTTCATTCCTCTCTCGCCAAAAAGGCAAATGCTACCAGATGGTCTGATTATATAATTATAAGCTTAATGAACCATGCACTCAAAACCCTTCTTTCTGATATTCACTCTCGGATATATAAAAAACTAGAAGAAAACATTAGCAGTGTTCAGTTTGGTTTAGAAGCGGGCTGAGAACGGCAAGAGACCCTATTTTCCATACAAGTATTGATGCAAAGAGCTCGAGAAAGTAAATTGCAAAGTCTACGCATGCTTTATAGACTTTGAAAAAGGATTGGGCAAAGTGCAACATCAAAAATTATTTTAGATACTGAAAGAATCTAGTATGATGAGAAAGATTTACCCCTTTTTAAAAATTTATACTTACAGCAAAGGGCAACTGTACGAGTTGACAACGATACCTCACAAGAATTCACGATAAAACGGGGAGTACGCCAGGGTTGCATTTTGTCACCGATATTGTTCAATACTTACTCGAAAATGCTGTTCAGGGAAGCTAATTGATGGTTTAAACCCTAGAATACGGGTCATTCGTAAATTTGACGACGCTCATAATACATCGGGCATTTTCGCCCACTCTCGATTATTTTAACGATTTCCCCAGTTAAGTACCTTCCAGATTAGTATCGAGCTTGATAGTGTCACAGACGGTTGTTATAATTTTCAATTCTAAGACCACATTTCGTCGCTTGGTTCGTAATTTTTACGAAAGTCCCGTGTTTACGTCGTATAATAAATCAGCTAGTTCTTATTGTTTGTATTTTGATTTTGAGTGTTTTAGTAACAAAAAATTAAGGTAAATTGTTTTTTCATTCTCATTACATAATATACTATTTGAGTTTTTCTTATTAAGATGTCAAATAAAAAGTTTTTGTCCGCAAAAGAACTGGAGGAGGAAGCGGCACGTATTATGAATGGGGAAGACAGTGATCCAGACCCGTTTGACGATAGTTGTAGTGAATGGAAAGAGGACAATTTGGAAGAGGAATCCTCTGGCTCCGATAGCGAGGTTGATGCGGAAAATGATTCGTATGTTTCTCCTGTTCGTCTTATCCAAGAGGAATATAACAGTCCAGTTCAGTCTGAAGAAGAGGTAGAAGCTAATTTAGATGAAAATGATATTTCTTTATCACAAGTACGTAAACGTTCAAAATATGTAATAACCTTTAAAAACAAAAGCTTCAAGAGTAAAAATGGTCACAAATGGTCAACAGAGTTGCCTCAAAGATCTAAAAGAACAGCTGCTAGAAACATATGTCATTTTATATCGGGTCCTAAAGGGGCTGCAAAAAACTGTTTCTACGCTGGATGATTATTTTTTGCATTTTTTTTTTCTGATAATATATTTGATATAATTCTGCAACATACAAATGCAGAGATTGCCGTCCTAGCTCGAAAATACAGTGGCCACCAGAATGTTAGCATAACGACAAAAGACTTGAAAGCTTTATTTGGTATTTTAATTCTTTCTGCGGCAAAGAAAGACAATCATTTATCAGCAAGGCATATGTTTAATGGCACCATTTCAGGCAAGTTTTACAGATCTTGTATGAATTGTGACCGCTTTTTATTCTTGCTAAACTGCCTTAGATTTGATAATAAGGAAACAAGAGAAGAGATAAAGATAAATGATCCCTTTACACACATTCGAGAAATTTGGAACATTTTTATCGATACGTGTAGAACACTGTATTCTCCATCCTCATACGTCACAATTGACGAACAACTTTTGGCATTCCGAGGACGCTGCCATTTTAGGATGTATATTCCTAACAAGCCAGCGAAGTATGGGATAAAAATTGTTATGGTATGCGATTCCTCAACCAAATATATGGTAGATGCAAGTCCTTACTTGGGAAAAAAAACAGAAACAAACGGTTTGCCTCTAGCTGAATTTTTTGTAAAAGAATTGACTAAATCAATTCACGGTACGAATGTAACGTAACTATGGACAACTGGTTCACATCGGTTTCTCTTGCTGACCAATTGTTACAAGATCCCTACAAATTAACCATGATAGGAACCATTCGTAAGAATAAAAAGGAGATTCCTAAGGAGTTCTTGAAAGTAAAAGACCGAAACTGTAATACGTCAATGTTTTGTTTCGATCAAAAAAAGACGTTAGTATCTTACATGCCAAAGAGAAACAAAGTAGTTTTGTTACTTTCAACAATGCATGAGGGAGCAGAAATTGTAGAAGAAACCGGCAAGCCATCCATAATTCATAACTATAATGAAACTAAAGCAGGTGTAGACACCTTCGACCAAATGTGTTCTAATATGAGTTCCAGCAGAAAAACACGCAGATGGCCATTATGCGTATTCTATGGAATGATAAATATGGCCAGCATAAACTCTTATGTTATTTATACTTTTAATATGTTAAAGAAAAGCGAAAAACCTATTTCCAGATATCAATATATGATTGAGTTAAGCCTTTGTCTTGCAAAACCATGGATGCTAAACAGATACAACACTGCAAGTTTACGTCAAATATTCGCCAAGACTAGCTGAAATCCTCAACATAACTGAAGGAGATGATGAAAATATGGCACAGGAAAAGAAGAGGAAGACTTGTTTCTACTGTCCAAGCAAAAAAAGGCGCATGACCACCAACTATTGCAAGCGAGTGCAAGAAGCCAATTTGCGGAGAACACCGAGGAGATATTTGTACCGTATGTTCCTAAAAATACTCAAATATGTTTGTTTTATAATTTTATGCTTTTGTAAGATATACTAAGACTCTTAATTGCTTTCTATATAATGAATAAAAAATTCAAAGTAAAAAATATAGACTTTTTTTTATGGAGTAGTAAAATTTACGATAGTCCCGTATTTACGTTTAACAAAAAGGGTCCCGTATTCTAGGGTTAATAGAGGGTATAAAAATCAATGGTAAAATCATAAACAAGATATGCGGACGATACGGTTTTGACTGCTGATAATGCGGAGGATCTGCAAACATTCATAGACCGTGTAGTGAAAGCTTGTGACAGATACGGCATAAAATTAAACTGTAAGAAGACCAACATTATTGTAGTAAGTAAAAACGAAGTAATAAAGCTAATAATGAACACTTGAAAATAGTAGACAAAATTAGATATCTTGGATGCAGCCTAAATAAGGAATGTAACCACTGCCAGGAAATTAGATGTCGAATAGAAAAGGCGAGAGCTGTTTTCATTCGCCTCAGGAAGATTTGATGTAATATTCATCTGATCATTAATTAATATAAGAACACAAGTCTTGAGAAGCTATGTATTTTCTATCCTTTAATATGAAATCTAACAACACCACGATCTAACGTATGAAGAAAGATCTGGAGATTACGCGTATCGTAAAGATCAGAAAGATTACATACTTAGGTCATGTGATGCACAATGAGAAGTATCAACTAATTCAATTAATTTTACAAGTCAAGATAGAAGGCAAAAAGACAGTGGGCAGGAATGACTACCTTACATCTATTCAGAGCAGCTGTCAACAAAGCTGTATGGATCACGTGATTGCCTACATCCGCAGAGAATAGGCATAAAAAAAGATTGCTCTTTTAAATGACCTCTAATAATGTCTGCTTTGGCCTTTTCGACTGTAGGTATCCATTTTAGTATTTTCTTAGAAAGTCATCAATTCCTCCATTCTTTGGACATGGCTATAGCAAAAGAGCTATTTGCATTCAATTTCTTCTATTACAAGAGTGACTTTCTTTGTTATATTATTTTTGTCTTATAAAGATGGATCTTCACCATAAATTCATTTCTAATACGTAAACTAATTTTCGAAACCAAATTCAGATTTTTGAAAAAAGGTAAAAAAGAAACACATTCATGATCAGATTTTTGCTTTAATCTGTGCCTTCTAAGAATTGCAAGGCAAAACAGACGTTGATAAAGATGTTATTAGAGACATGGGAATCTAAAATTTGCATTCCACAACATATCTTGTCAACTAAGCAAAAATCTTTAGCGAATTGGTTTCTTGTACTCGTACAGAGTATATCAGAATAAAAAAAGAAGACAGTCAAGATTTGATTTCACGTACAAAGCGTCTGTGTATCTGCTTATCCGTATTTTGCCCTAATAGGGCTCGTCAGAACAGCTATTCACAGTTGTTCTGAACGTGAAAATAAATCTTTTCTGTCTTAAGGTGCAGTCTCTCTTATGCGATTGTCGCATGCGTTCGACGCAAGCAGCTGTCGCAAGCGATTAACGCACTGGTTACAGAGACAAGTTTATCTTCATATATTAAAAGAGCAAGAATTGGAGGAGAACATTTTAAAAATGATGCTTAATAACTCAAAAAAGTGTTAAACTCATGAAATGTATGTGAGAAGGGTTGAAGAAGGATACCAATCCAATTTTATAAGTAAATATCTGATTGATGATGATGATTTTGTATTATGTGCTATTAAGGAAGATATATCAAAATCTCCTTCAAAAATCTAATGAAGCCCTACAATAAAGTACAGGCCAAGGGGGACTTCCAAAAAGCTGTATTTAATTGATTGTCTATGTAGAGCTAGACGGGTAGCTCAAAATGCTTTTGGACTTCTCAGTCAAGATTTAGAGTTTTTTACAGTCCAATCGCTGTTAAACTAAACACTTGCGATTATATAATTCTAGCAGCGTGTCTCTTACACAATTTAATTAGAAATCATGGTTGTCGAATATCTTCTCATCACTGCAATGAAGCTGGTAGGAGTATAAGTTTGAATAGAAGTGGAGGTTTTGCCCAAAATGTAGGTTTTAGTGTACGAGACGAATTTAACAGTTTTTTGTGATTGAGGGTAAAGTGGAATGGCAAGAAAGAAAAATGGAACAGAGGGAAAGATTAAAATAGATCAATAAAATGTTATATGATGAATCATTGTTTTTTTTTTGTACAGTAAGGTAGATGATGATAATTAAAATTATAAAACTTTTAATATTTACTACTATACTTACAGGAAATAAACCCCAATATTATTTAGAATTATCTTATATTTAACATCAATTTCCAGATCAGAAATTGCTATCAAAATAAAAAGTAAATAAATTATTTATTTTGTATGATAATGATTTCCTAAGTGGAAATTAAAATGTCTAATAAAAATATTATTTTAGATAATATTGTACTGTATTAGTAGTAAATGTTAAAATGTTACAACAAATTTTAAGTAAAGGTACTGCTCCAATAAATAATTATAAATATAGATATCTTACAACACAGATGTGTTATGTTTGTCACAAGGAATTTTGAGAAAACTAAAAGTAAATTACACATTTTTGTTGGTGTTTTAATGTCGAGTTCAGAGCTCATTTCTAAAATATTCTGATAATGAGTTCGGGACTGGTAAAAAGGTCTATAAAATACTAATTTTAGTTTGCTTTTACTTTTTTAAATGTTGCTTGTAACTGATATAGCTTAATTGTGTCTTAAGGATTTAATATTAAGTTAGGAACTACTTCAGAAATTGTGACATATTAAATATCTATTTTAAATGACACTACCACTAATATATAAGAGGAAAGAAATAGTATGGTAAAGAAAAATATATTATAACTCTACAAACTACTATTTACTAAAATGCACATTTGAGCTTTTGTTTAATCTTCCTATTGTAAACACAATTAGGTGTTGATAACCTACAAACTTTCAATTCTATGTAAAAATTTTTTGCGTTTTATGAAATAGACGCATGCAGTCGCTGCAGACCTATGCTATCATATGCAGTCGATGCAGCAGACGCATGCGATTCCTTGCGTCGCGTCGGATGCATAAGGCAGACCGCTTGTATAAAGTTACTAGTTGAGCAGTGCACAGAGCGTCGCCTGCGACTGCTGCTTTCGTCGAACGCATGCGACAATCGCATAAGAGAGACTGCACCTTTAGGAAGCAACTCTATGGCTTCGTTATAAAATAAATATAAAATAAGTATAAAAATATATCCTTTCTGTCTTATTTTCATGTTCAGAATAACTGTGAATAGCTGTTCTGGCGAGCTCTATTAAAGCGAAATACGTATAAGCAGATACACAGACGCTTTGTACGTGAAATCAAGTCTTGACTGTCTTTTTCTTTTCTTTTCTAATAGTACTAAATGACATTCTGGAATTTTTTTATGCATTTGTTTTTCTTGACTGTCTTTACTACTCGAGAGCACTGTCTTTACCACTCTATCTTCCTCTGATTTTACCACAGGATCTGCCCATCTTATTCGATTAGCTTTTATATGTCTGAGAAAGTTATCAGTGCCATAGAGAATCACAAATGAAGCATTGTAACGCGTTCTCCACTCTCCTGTCAATTCATTTCTTTGCGGTCCAAGTATTATTAATCATCATTTATGAAGAGGGGAATCAATTAGGTAAAATTTATAAAAAATAAGAAAGATGGGCCTAATGATTGCAAAATATATCCAATGCTGAGGATCAATATTAAAGCCAACAAATTCAAGTATAAGAGCAAGTTACAGTAGACAAAAACGATAATGAAGAAGTACCCGTAAAGCAAAAAATTATAACTGTTATAAAAAACTTCTTCTTCTTCTTAGCAATTCTGCTAGTTCATTGGTGGATTAATACTTCTATGGAAGGTTGTCACTCCATCTTTTGTAGAGTCTTCCGATAATTCTTTTGCCGATTGGTGACTTATCTCTTCTTATTTTGACACTCCGTTCGGCTCGCGGAGATAAGAATACGGCCGAGGCCCAGAAGACCCTGCCAATCGTAAGAGATGAATAATGGGCGAGAAATGAAAGATGGAGAGCCGTCGTTCGAGGTGTCGGGTTGGTAGAAACGCACTTAAGATGCATAGCCATCTTGGTCACCGGCCTATATTTCTAGTATCTTAGACAAGCATCTCGTGGGACCACTCTACTTTCATTTCCATAAGAGCCAGGTGAGGTTGAACGGTTGTATGGTTACCTTGTATACTTATGCATTCCATATACTCTCCCCCTGGTTCCTTACCGCTCTTAGGTAATACCATCGGCAAGGTCATTTACATATAGGCTATTATTTTATAGGCTACTATTTTACATACATTTTCCTCTGGTTCCTTACCGCTCCTAGCTAAGAACCAGCAAGAAATCTTCATCATTAATTCAGGCAGCGCAAGGCATCTCTAAGTTTCGTTCGCTAACTGAACACGTACGGGGGTGTCTTGACGAAGAATGGGTGGTCTTAGTTGGTAGGCAGGGCAACAATAAGGCATCCGTTTGCAGGACCTCCTCTACATAGGGGGAAATGGGCTCAGATGTTTTCCTCTGCCCTAAATCCAACACACGCCGAACAATAGTATAAACATTTTAGAAATGTTAGAACATTTCCACCCTCATAAAAAAAGGTGAGGTTGAACGAGCTGGGACCGTAAATACCTCCTACGGTACTTACACCACCGAGGGTGGTATGGTGACCCGGCACGTACCCACCTGCCGGCAATGATTTACGAGTGGTAGGGGGGAATTCCGGACGGGTGACGTGATCCGCAATACAGGTACTACGGGGGAGGTGGAGCATCACGATGTTTCGGCATCGTGCCACCTCCAATTGGTGTCAAACTCGTAGGGGCAGTGGGTCCGCTAACGGTTATATGCCGAAAGACCAGGAAGACCAAGGTCTTGCCAATTTTATATTGAAAGCCCACAAAGCTTTGCAATGTTATTTTGACGGCACGGATCTCGTCCATTCTGCTTATGTACGTTACATTTTCTTCTAATATCTTCACTTCTCTTTCAATCTGTCAGCGTATTTCCTGTAATTATTCTCAGTACTCTCTTTTCTACCTTTACCAGTAGCCTTTGCGTTGTAGCTGTGTGGGACTTGTTTATTATTCATATATCATTATTGGTCTTACATTGGCTTTATAAATTTTTGACTTCATCTTATTGTTAATGTGTCTGTTTCGCCATATAGTGATACTAAGACATCCTGCCAGTCAATTTGCTTTTTGTACTTAATTTCTCACTTCTTTGTCCAGGTCTCCACAGTTGGAGAGTGTAATATTCAGGTATTTTACGTCCAATACTTGTTTAATACTGATGCCATTAATTTCTATTTTACATGTGGGTTGGATATTTACTGACTACCATTGTTTTAGTTTTCTAAGATGAGATTATCTTATTAAATTCTTTTGCTCGTATGTTAAATATATGGACCCAATCTTTGCAGACTATCTTCATCTTGGGCTATCAATATTGCATCGTTTGCATAACAGAATTTTTTTAATTTTTTTGTTTCCTATTTTCTATCTACTTTCTTTTGCGAACCTTGATGATTTTATCCATGATCAAATTAAAGAATATGCTAAAAGAAAAGCTAATAAATACGCTGGTAAAAAAGAAAACGTCCCCGAATAAAATGGCTAGAGTCGGTAATAGAAAGGTCCAAAATTGTTTGAGGGTACAAGATTGGAAAATCTAACAAGACAAAAAAGATAGAAAGAAAATAACGAAACTATTGAATCTTTGGGCCTCTAACTCCTGTTTTTGTTTTTTCTATCAAAATATCATCTACATAATACTAACCTGGAAAAACTCGTTTCAGTAATTCGTTTTGCGCCGGAATAAACTTGGTATGCATGAAAATTTCTCCTAAAATAAATCGGTAAGTGTTGGACAATCGTTCCCAGTAGTTCATCTCAGCGTCATAGTTTCCCAAAATGCTTGGTACGTACGACGGTGGAGCTAGATTTCCTACGAGGTAGTTGTTCATCATGCTCATGGGCCCAGGAGCTAAAACCACCAATGGACAGTTAAACCTGAAATAAGTATTGTAAAATCAAATTTCATTTATTGTTTAAATAAGTAATACAATATTTTGCAGCTTTATACATAAAATATTTTTCTCAAATTGAGTAGCTGATTTTGACAGTATGGCTGCCCTTTACAATAGTCATATTCCAAAGTGGTAAAAAAAACAGATATTTGTCAACAAGTTTACAGAAGTATATAGGAAAACAATTTTAAATTGAGTATGACCACCAGGTATAAAGGTTGGAGCAGAATAGAATACAATAGTTGTGAGGGATACTAATCCCTAAATAAGGTTGCCAGTGTCGGAGTGATGGAGGTTAACAGGTACTAATGAATTTGCAAGAAATGTAAGATGTTTATTTTATTGGTTATATATAACCAATAAAAGTTTAATAAGTACCTACCTATTTGCAAAATAAAGTTTAATTCTTTAGATAAAATAAAACGTTTTATTTTATCTGAAATGAGTGCATTCCACGAAGTAAGGTTTCAACAATCAAACATTTAATTCTTTAATTCCAGGAATCTACGACAGTAATTGACTAGATAATTACCTTCTAAACTTATTCCACAGAAAATGTGATAGTGGGTTTTTCCATTTTGTAGGAAGGTCCAAGTGGCGTATTCAAAATTCTTAACAGTTCACTAAAAGTAGGTACTTCAGTTGCAAGGTGCAGTTTATTGTGTATACTAGTGTTATGGAAAATTTGGAAGTGCCGTGTAAACGCCGAAAAATTGGTCCTTTAACAGTTAATGAAAAAACATTAATATTTAATTGTTTTAAATCATTTACAGACAAACGTTTATGTGAAAGTGTTGATGAGACCGTTGAGTTAGTTAGCAGTACACTTGGTGTTGGGAAATCTACGATTTACAGAGTTATTAAAGAAGAGAAATGTGGTAGTTTTCAAATGCCACGTAATGCTCCAGGGAAACCAAAATTTCAAATAGAATATCATTTTAAAGAAGGACTTGACGGAAAGTGCATGAATTCTTCTTTAGACAAGAATTTCCAACATTGGATAAAGTTCTTGTCTCAGTTCGAGATAATAAGGATTACCCAGAAATGAGTCGAAGTACGTTATGAAACTTTTAAAAGAAATAGGCTTCCGCTGGAAAAAGAATCCCAGAAAGTCTATTTTATTAGAAAGAAGCGATATTGTCATATGGAGAAGACATTTTCTAAGAACCATAAAGGAAATAAGAAACCAAAAAAGAAAAATATTTTATCTTGATGAAACATGGATCAACGAGGGTCATACACCAAATAAATTTTGGCAGGATGAAACTGTTACAAGTCAAAGGCACGCTTTTGTAAATAACTTATCTACTGGTTTAAACCCACCATCAGGAAAGGGGACGCAGGCTGATAATAGTACACATTGGCAGTTCAGACGGTTTTGTTGAAGGTGGTTTATTAACTTTTGAATCAACTCGTACCCGTGACTAACATGAAGACATGAACGCTGATGTCTTTCAAGAATGGTTTCGAACAAATGATAGATCTTCTTCCTAAGAACTGTGTAATAGTAATGGATAATGCAAGTTATCACTCCAGACTTATAGAAGGACTGCCCACAACCAAGTGGTTAAAAAAAGACTTGCAGAATTGGCTGAGTTCAAAAAATATTACGTACCATCCCGGATCTATAAGAAAGGATATTCGTTATGTGCCAAAAATCGTGGAATGACAGTACTTAGATCCCCACCATATCATTGTGAATTAAACCCGATTGAACTGGTATGGGCACAGATAAAGAGTGAAGTTTCAAGAAAAAATACCACTTTTAAAATTCATGATGTTAAACAGTTGTTTTTGGAGGCCGTAAATAATGTAAAACCTGAAAACTGGGAAAAGGCAGTAAATCACACTATTAAAGAAGAGGAAAAAATGTGGAAGCTGGACAATATTACTGATAAAAATGATCGAGCCAGTTATTATAAATCTTGGTTCTGAAAGTTCATCTTCTGAATCTGATTTGGATTTGTAACAAGTAGCTGTAAGTTTTTATATTAATATTTTTATTCATCTATTTAACATACCTTAAACGGTTTTAAAAACTCTTTTTCTCTTTGGTAATTTTTAAAAATTAAAAAAAATGTGAATTTTTTAAAACCCTTTTTAATGTAGGCCAGTCAGTTCTAATACAGTGTGTGATAAAAGAGGTCACTTTTGTTTACATACACATAACACTTTATAACACTGAAATAATTCATTTATTTTTTACAATTATTCAAAGTAATTTTTCAATTAATCTTGAGCACGCCCATGGAGTGGTCGGAGGTACCAGTTAAAATTATGCTAAATACTCTCTCGTTCATAAAAATAAACTATAGTTCGTTTTATGTAACAGTTGGTTGCAAAACTAGCTCGTTGCATATTCTGCAGCAAAACTCGCCAGTAACTTGTTTTAACGAATCTATTTCATGCTTGTATTCAGTTTGTTGCAAACATTAAAAAGTTAAGGAAACTCCAAGATGTACGGCATTTCCATCAGTCTTTTTATGACACACCAAATATGTTGGACCAAGATAATTTTATTTTTAAACATACGAAGCAAATAGCTCCAGTAAAGAATAGAAAACGAAAAAATTATTACTAAAGATAAACAATATAGGGAGAAAAAGCTGTATATCCATAAAATATTTCGTGTCAACTTGGCTCGAGGGAATGGTACCGGTTTTCTCCAAAGTTTTTCTCACAATTTTGGGTATTTCTAAATACCGCATATAAAAGCCTTTGAGATGTGGGTTTTTCGAAGGATGCTGAAGATCTCTTGGACAGAGCACGTGACCAACAACGAGGTGCTAAAGAAGAATCAGTACTGAGAAAGAACTCCAAAATATTGTAAATACAGGAAAGCGAGTTATCTAGGACATATTTACAGAGGAGAAAAATATAACTTTCTACGACTTATATTGAAAGGGAAAGTGGAAGGAACAAGAGGTCCAGGAAAAAGAAAATGCTCCTGGTTGAAGAATGTAAGAGACTGGACAAGTATGGACACACATTCGATACTAAGAACAGCTCAAGATAGAGAGCAATTTGATGCAGTTATAGCCAACTGAAAATTTATAGAGGTAAAAAAGAGGATGTTTCAAACTTCTTAAAATCACTATAGTTTGTGGAGTCCCATTATACAAGGAATAAAAGCACCAGACACTATATGCCAAGTGATTGCACAGAAAAAAACTCTAGAAACAGTACAACCAATCAGTGAATGACAACCTGCAGCTAAAATATTGTTACTTTCTGTATATTTTCAACTATTATTTTAATATCAGTTTTAAGACTCCAGCAACAGGTGATTGTTTACAATGAATTCGTTTGAGATGCCAAATAAAAACGATGCCTGCAGGACCCAGGAAGGTTGAAGTTATTGGTAAACATGCAGTTTATAAAATAAAGGCAAAAACTGTTTATTCCATGCTGAAAAAAAAACGACGGGCCTTCTGTACTTAAACTTTCTTTTGATTGTCAAAAGAACCTTGAGTTTCCACTGTTCCAGACCAGGCTGCCTATTATAGCAGGCAACTGTACCTCTACAATTTCACCATCTGTGAGGGAAATTCTACTAGTGTTTAAAATCCTGGTTCGGTGTATGCTTATGCATGGTGTGAACACCAAAGATACAAAGGGTCTAATGAAATCGCTTCGATTTTATAGTACCATCTTAGAAATAAGCACCTTTCAGAAATAAAGGAAATAATGATTTTCTGCGATGGCTGTCTCGGCCAAAATAAACACATTACTGTGATTGGCATGTTATGCAAATTTTTATATGAAACGTTAAGTTGCAAAATTACTGTTACTTTCCTGTGGTTGGATACTCCTTTATTCCTCCCGATAGGGTATTCGGGAGGATTAAACAAAAAATTAGAAAACATGACACAATAATACAACCTAGTGAATATTGGAATTTGTTTTCTCAATTTAGCACAGTTAGAAAAGTTGGGACCCAGGTAGCCGTTCAAGACTGGAAAAGTGCAGTAGCTACAGCTGTAAAATCTCCAAGCCAACTCCACTTCAAATTGGCTGTCTCCAAAAGAATAAACATAAAAAAACTAATCAAAGCAATGTGACTGTGCAGGGTAAAATTAATTACAGGTGCAATCTAATCATCCAAAAACCAATATTAAAAAATGGGAAAGAAAATTATTCAAATTATTCCAGCTCTCCTTTCAAACAACGTCATGGTTGCAAAAGAAAAATTTAAAGATGTGGAGAAACTCCTTAACACTCATTTTGATGAGAACTGGAGAACCTACAACAATTTGCAGTTCTATGTCCCCATTGTGGATAATAATTTTGAAGGAGTAGAAGAAAACAATGAGGAAGAGCACATTGAAATAATAGAGGAAGCTAATGGGCTCTCTATTTAACATTGTTTTTGGCCTTATTAATAATAAAATTATTAGCATTACGTTTTTTAATAAATAATATTGTTTTGTACAAGTTCTATAAATAAAAAATATTTCAAAACTGTCTACTTTACTATTTTGTATTTGGTTGGATTTCAACTATTACGATGCTTTGTTTGTATGTTGCACAATGTTGATGTAACTTGTTTGTTTCTATAGGTGGTTCAATGCAAAAGTGTTTCAATGCAATACTTCGTTGCAAAACTCTATCGTCCTAACTTTTAATCTAATATTTTTCTATTAAAATGTTGCTTCTGATTTTTTAATTCTTAGTTTCTTTATCGAGACCAGGATAATGTTTCACAAGCAGAAAATTCATGTTACTTAAGTTAATTAGTCAGACACAATAAGTTTTTTTTACATGTCCTGAAAAACAGTTTAAGGGTAACGAGCGAGTTTTGCATTTCATTTACTCAATTATTGTTGTTATATTGCAACGCCACTGCATAGCATTACAGGAAAAATATTTCTTGAAACCACTAGGTACCAGCTGTACATTTTGATAGCATTGTCTCATTAATTATACACTCCGCGTCATAGAAAACGGGCCACCCCAAATATTTAAAATATTTTCGAAATTATT